AGATATGCGTAACAAATCTGAGCTTCCTGATACCATCGAAACATTGAGTTGATCGCCTCTTGAAGCTCCGCAGAGCTGGATTTGTCGATGCAGCAATTATCTATCCAGACCCAATCGAACCCATCTTTAATCGCGAGTGCGCAGGTGCCCTGCACTTTGGAAAATCCACGTTTGGTCCGGGCTCCACTGCTAATGTTGCGGATGGGTCCTTTCATCACGTCCTCGAAAACGAGCTCTTCTGCTTCCCACCGATGTGAGAGGATGACATACTCGGGCACCTCGCCGATGAATGTCGTGAGTGTTAGAGTTCGCGTGTTGAGTAGCCTCATATTTGCGCGCTTGCCGCACTGGGCTCGGTGTGTGATCAAGCTCGTCCACCGTGATTGTTGGTCTTGTGCGACCAAGTTAAACCTTCTGGGCGTAGACAACCAGAAGGATAGTGGAATAGAAAATGATCTGGAGTCATGATGGTGGCATCGAATGTGCCAAAGTCGCCATCAGGCTGCAGGTAAGCCACAGCCACCCGTGGACCTGGGCCTGCATGCGGGGCAAGATGCGATTGAAGCCCGCGCCTCCACTGGTCGTTACGCAAAACATCGACGCATATTTATCCATGTTTGTAATAATTCTAGAGTGTGTTAATGGAGTGGCGATTAAATCGCGTCCGGATGTGTAGACTTTCGCCGTGGAAACCCGCAGCGAGCGAACGCCCGCGCGTTCGGGGGCAAGCGCGCCGACGTGAACGCGCTAATCTCTCACGTGACTTGCCTCAGCTTCTTCGATTGCACCATAGTCCCACCCAGGTGCTGCCTTGACTGCGTAACTGACTGCGACAAGCCACAGCGTCGCTCCAGAAATACAGTCATGGCTATAGCAACGCAAATCGAGAGCAGACTTCGATTACTGCTGGAGATGCGCAGCCGCGAGGGACGCGCGAGCTAGGCTGCCTCAGGTTTTCCCCGCCTCTCAATACTCACCGGCCGTGTTCCACAGCCTCAATGCGCCTGCGATACAGACACAAAACCTGAGCATGCGTCCACAAGCGGAACTTTGTGAATGCACGGATGACGTGGCGCAATTCTGGCCCCCAATTGATGCAGACAAAGCTCCGCCTCGATGCAGAGCCGCGGCCCCTTCGGAAAATCGAAGGCTCGCTTCCTTCATCCCGTCTTATTCACGACGACGCTTTCTGGCCCCTTAGCATCAACGCGTTGCTCGCCAGCTTCCCAAGGGCTAATTATTTGCCCGGGCTCTGATATTGGGCACACTACGCACATTTGCATCAATGGCCAATAACGGCGTCAACGCAGTCGAGATGGCGACTATCGCCGGGGCTCCAAAAGCTACCAAAACATCCGTTGCTGCAACTTCGAGGACGGTCACCCCAAGCCCAAACATGCTGAGAAACGAAGAGCCACCGATTGGATCGTGGCTCTGTGCTAATGGTAGATGATGTTTTGTCCAAGTGTCATTTGCAGGTGTCGTTAATCTCGAGCAGGCATATATCGCGACTATATCGAGGCCTTGAGCGGATCCAATCCTGGCCTGAAGAAGGCCGATCCGAACAACAAGGATGAGCCACTGAAGTATGGCAACGCGCTCGTCGCGCTCTTAGACGCTCCTGCTACTGGGGCATCTGGTTTCACAACAACTGAATTTAGAGGCGAGAAAGAGCTTGTTAAGCACTTTGAATCCGCGGGGCACAACCACAACCGTCGGCGCATCTATATCATGGAGGGACTGGCACCTGATTTTGTCGCAGCCGTCGGCGGTCACTTCTTCATGGATCCTTCATTCTTCCAGCGGCAAGAGAGGACATGTGTCTGGAGTAATGACTTTACACCAGTGAGCGATGCGTTGCCCCAACCTAGCTTGCTTGACCCACGGCAAGCTTTCCAGCTCCAGTATTGCGAGTTGCGACAGTTCAACAAGGCGCTCGAGAACCGCTATTTCTTCTGCGAGCGAACGCGACGGCATGTGGGCATGACAGCATCCCGTCAGAAAGAGAACAGTACGATCGGAATACTACGTCGCAAAGTCGGGTGGTGGTCTCGACAAACCGAGAATGGCGGCTGGGATGGTACGTCAATTTCACACTCTCGAATCTGGGACCATTCTCTGAAAGCATATTGCCGCCTTGGAAGCCCGATGCCAGTCCCGGAGACCAAAGTAGTAAGGGAAGGTCTGATAGACATTAGCTGATTTACGCAGTGGTCATATTGTGTGATCCCCAGCTGCTTCATCTAAGCCCTCCGCCCAAAGAAGTCGATCCCGACGATAACACACTTCGTCCAATCGCCAATGTACGCGACGAACTTCAAAACACGCCGTTTCAGGAAGGCTATGTTGACTTCATTCCGCCCGTCCCTCATCATCAAATACATAGCAAGACGCAACATCCGCATACGTCAATGCTGCGCGACCTCCTTCACTACTACCAGCAACACTCTGATCTGTTCTCCGAAGACGAGTGGGCTACGCCCAATACATCAGCAATCTTCCTCAAGAAGATAGTCGCTGCGCACTACCTCCAGCTTGTCGATTACATCAAAGCAATGCTGCCTTCTTTGGAGCTTCGTCTTACTACCGCATGGGTTGAAGAGCAGGGTCAATGGAAGAGCTTACAGACTATTTCACGTCGGTGCGGCAACTATCGCGACGATCTTGAAGATGCATTACTCAGTCTCGACTATTCGCTAGATGGGCAGATCAACAAGTCCGTCAGGTTGCATGCGCACACGTGGAAAGACTGCGAGAAAGACTTCCAATATGTCTACTTCCGTCTCAAGATCCTTAAGGAACGGGCCGATAACCTGATCCAAGCCATGACTGGACTGGCATCGATCGCGGGTAATCGTCAGAACTTGGAGGAGGCCAAGCGCGTGAAACGACTCAACCTTCTCGCCCTGCTGTTCATTCCCTTGGCATACACGAGCAGCTTGTTTAGTATGCAAGACAACTATGCACCGGTAAGATCAACACGAACATATTGTTAGTGAACAATTACTAACTCCTCATGCGCGGTCTCAGAACCGAAGTGAGTTCTGGGTCTATTGGGTCAGCGCTATCGGGGTTGTCGCATTCACCGCCGTCATCACGTGGATCCTGGACAATGCCCTGAACGACGAAGCGCAGTGGACCTGGAGACCAATCACCTTCCTCAAATTCTGGGGTGTCGAGGAGCAACAGCCTCAACCCGGAAAAGTGAAGAGAAAAATGACTAATCTCTACCGGCTATGATAGACATCTTTGCTATGATCATATGCACAGGGCTATCTGCACTGCCTGCGGCTTCAACACTTTCACATCAGCAGATTGTTTGCAACCTCTCGCTGTAACGGAGCTATTTCCATGGCAAGGTTTCCATTGTCAAAACACTTGGTGGGTGCTAGACGCATGTTCGCGCACTTTCTCTTCCGTTCTCAAAGGAGATTAATACCTTCGTTCTGCATTCCTAGCACTTCATCCTTCATTCTTGTCTCGATTGTAGGCTTTGTCGATATCACACCAACGACGTCATCATGAATGAAGTCTCGAGACCACCTGTTCGCCTCTGCTGCATGTGCCACCGCAAAGCTACATGCATGTGCACGACATGCAAATGCAGCTATTATTGCTCGACAGAATGTCTGCAGGACGACAAATCCGTTCATATGCTGCTCTGCAAGGCTTATCGAAGTTACAAGAATCACATCCCTCCTGAACCTGGACTGTTCAAGGCCATCTTCTTCAACGCCAGAAAGACCGCGCCCGAATGGGTTTGGGTGAGGATGACGTCTCAGCCCGGCGATGAGGGCTTTGCTCTCCAATACCATCTGATGCCAGATGAACAGAGTAAGGGACTCGTCAGCTGTGGAAACTCATCCTATAACTGCGTCTTGAAACGCTCGCACGATACTATCCACATGCTTGGCTGCCTTGAAGCGTGCCCAGCTTCACCGGATCAACTATGCCTGACTGGCGTTTCAAACAAGAGCATGGGAAACATTGCGCCCGAGCTACTACAATGCTGCAAAGGCAACATACTCTTCATCGGCCATCGCGCACATCTCGACATGACCAGTCTCCGGCATATCGTTGACATGATGCACATGGAGTACGACAAATCACTCCGCCAACTTGGAGACAAAGGGAAAGGCTACATCCCTGGTGTCCGCATCAACTGCATCGGCGATCGACTAAGCAGTGATCGCCCATCACTCGAGGCTTGTAAAGTCACCGACGGCTTTTACGAAAAGGACGAGAATCTCCTCATATGGATCGTATCCAAACTCGGTATCGATCTTTTCGCTCGCACTATACCCCCAGCGCTACCCTGGAGAAACCGTAGCGGTGGCTACAAAGGCTTGCACCATGCCTGGAACTTCGGCTTCGCACAGCTCAACCCTTCTGAGTGGTCAGCCGGCCTGGGTAGCGTTTACGTCGCAAGAAAAGATAAGAAGCCATTGCTTGTCGCTCACATTGCGGCTCTCATGGCATATCTATACTCCATCGGCAGTGAACAAGTTCAAGAGATCCTGGACAGCAAGGAGTCATGGAACTTAGCTTTCAAGTTCGACGAGGCTTTCGAGATGCACAACGACCTATTACTTCAGAAATCTTCCAAAGAGGGTTTCGAGCGGTTTTGGACGAATTGGATGGAAGAAGAAGGGCGACAGAAGTATGGGGATGTTTCCTCACCATATGCGGCCTAGTGCTCTAATGCGTTCATCGCGTCACGAAGGTTCCAGATCGCGTCTAGAAGCAAAACTAGTGTCTTCGAGAAGTAAGATGTTTGTCGCTGCAGGACGCGAAAGAATCCGGCGTCCAGGTCCGTCGGCCTGGTGCGAATGGTGTTCCGGTAGATGTGGCTGCACTAGAACTCCGCCCATAGTGTTCTGCCGCTCTACTTAATTAGCCAATATGCATAGGGCTCACTAGCGCGTATCTGTCATGATACATATAAAATATACTGATGTGCATCGTGAGCAATGGCAGTGTCTTAGGAATCTCAGTCTAAAATGCAGCTCCTCCACCTCCTCCCCTTCCTGGGCATCGCCCTTGCAACCCCATTGCACCCACCTCCACCCCCTCCTGCACATGCACCTCATCCTCCTACTCCGCCTTCTCACCCACACCTTCACGCCCCCAAGTCAAACATCAAATGCCCCCTAATCTTCGACGGCCGCATCACCAAAAACCTAACCCTCCAATCCTTCGACACACCCGCCGGCTCCACTCCCTACAACCCCGACTACGTAAAAGGCGAAAACCGCACCTGGTCCTCCATTCTCCTCTTCCCCAAGACCACACCTCCATCCCGCTTCGACAACCCCCTCCAGCACAAACCAGTCGAAGTAACAATCGACGACGGCTCCCTCTTCCGCGCAGGCGAGAACCTCCAAACAGGATTCCGCCGCGCAGGTCTCCTTCTCAAAGACGATCTTAACGATGCTGGGGCTGATGCATCGGATAACGGCGTCGTGACGTTCCATTGGAGTGTCCGGCAGGATGAACACAGACCGTTGAATCTGAGCCATGAGTATATGAATGTGTGGCATGAGAAGGGTGATTATAGCGGTAACCAATTCATGTTCGTCGGAGGTGTTGTGTTGGTCGGCGATGGCGGGACGGGTGTGGATACGAAGAAAGAGCGGGAGATGTGGAAGGTGCAAAACGCGAAGAATGAGTTTGTGTATGAGACGAGGATTTTGAGGGGGGAGTGGCAGAATTTTGGGGTGCAGTTGGATTATGTTAGGGAGTAAGTGGCCTTCTTTCTTTTCGTGCAATGAGGCTTGGGTGGGGATAAGGACGCTGACGAGATGATTAGTACGATCAAGGTTTATTACTCTGCGGGTAATAAGCCGTTGAAGGCGGTGACGAAGGCTACGCCTAATAGCAATGCTGGTGGTGGGCAGTTGCAGATTGGTATTGCGAAGAAGCCTACGGAGACTGAGACGGTGGTGTATGATGGGTACCAAGAGCACATTCCACTCCGTGGTGAAGGGCAGATCTACGGTGGCATCTTTGTGGAGGATAGCTCGAATGGGTGTGTCAGTCTTTGAGTCCAGTCAGAGAACGGTATATGGGTGCGCACGTGCGGACAAGATAGATTGCAGATTCGTAGACTGTAAAGTCAAATTTGTTTCATCAAGTATGCGTCATGACTAACATAGCCCGTACCTTCACGATCTATCCCTGTGTTCCATGTTCCTAGATTATGTAAGGTGAAGTAACATAACCATACTTCTCTATACCACCGTTTCGCATAAGTCGAGGTTGAAGTCTTTAAAGCCCTGCTCCGAAGCACGAGACAGAAATTGCTGTGAACTCGCCTGGTAATTTTGGTTCATTAGCGATCGCAAATACTCGATTGGGACAAGTGCATCGTCGGGCAGATGGGAATGTGGTCCTGCGGGTAGGTTGCGCAATTGCGCTATGCTGTAGCCCTCGCGTGCACAATACTCAGATAGTGCGTCCACGTGTGCGCAATGCAATGGCTTCTTATCCTTCTGAGCGATCACGATTGAGCCTGTAAGCGGCCACCACTGCGCTGGGTTGAGCCTCTGTGCGAATTCATTCTGTGCATAGCGTTTCGCCCAATCGCCAAGATGATGGCGGTTCCGCCACGGTAAAGCCTCTGGAATCACTCTTGCCTCGAGTGGAATGCCGATCTTGTCGCCTACGGGAAGATTGATAGTCCGGTCCAAGTCGAAGAAACTGCTGTTCAAGTTGACTTGCTCGAACTGGGGACGATCGCTGATAAGCAAATCACCTCCACAGCTCACACGAACACCCTTGATAGGACCTGTCGCATTCTTCTCTTTCATGTACTGGGCTTTGTAGTAATCTGCGCGCAGATCATCGACGATGTGTCGGAAGGACATCATGTCAAGGTGATATCCGGGACCATACATCACGAAAGGCCCATGCATAGCGTCTGGCAACTCCTGATCAATTGTTGCGAAGCTCTGATTTGGACCTCCTGCATATTTCAATTCATCGTTTTCGGTCGGGCCAAGATGAACTACCCATGCGATGGGTTCGTGTGGTCGCTTGAGGACTCGGTTGTTGTCAGAAAAGTGGATTGCCCCTCCTGCTGAGTTCAGAGGCATGGCTGGTAGACCTGGTTCGGCCAGGAAATCCATGAAGGTACCATTGGGACCGGTGGACGGTTCGACGCTCAACCAGGTAAACACAGGCCTTTCTTCGTTCACGGGGAAACATATCGCGCGGAAATGATGTGGAGAAGGGGCCGAACTTGGGTCGAAATCGTTGTACGAGGCGCATAGGAGGCTATGCGTTGGCCAATCGTCCTGTCGACAGATGTTCGAGCAGTACCGGCTGCAGTGGCATGTGGGACAGACTATTGTTCCGGGTCTAGGACACATCGAACATAGCGTCGAGCTTGTTGAAGCTTGAGTGTTGGATGAGTTCGCCATCAAGATGAGTCGAAGTCGCTGTAAGTGGAGATAGAGAGAAGAGAGAAAAGATGAATGCGCGTAGACTATTTGTAGACTCCGGAGGTATCAAGCGACAAACAACAGAACGCACGAGACGTGTCGCGAGACAGGAGGCGCGCACCTGGGTGTTGCTACTGTGCATCTGACTGTAGCATGGGAAGGCGTAAAAGATCTTGAGAGGAAACGGGATTTGGGCATGATCTTCGATGAGAGTAGGAATAAAGGTATCGTGATTTGGTATATACAGAAGAAGAAGTTGAAAAAGGGACCGTTACCAGAGTCAAGCAATTCAATGCACCATGCTCTTTCCAATCTCGCTTTCCCAGTTGTTCGCCCTCTCGAAACCATTCGAGTGGCTCTGGTAGTCCATCATAGCCTGCATGACCTCGTCTCTTGACGTAACGACAAAGGGTCCGTATTGTACGATGGGCTGATCGAGCGGCAGACCAGCGACAAGGATGAACCTCGATGGCTTGTCGGCACCTTCCTCCACGGATGCTTCGATGCTGTCGCCGTTGCTCTCGAAAACGACGTTGTGGTATTGTTCGATGGGTCGCGATACGCCGTCGGAAGAGAAAATGGTCGTGCCGTTGAGGAGGTATGCGAAAGCGTTCCAGCCCTTTGGCAGGGGCTGCTTGACTTTGCCGCCAGGCTGAACTGTGAAGTCGAGCAGCCAGACGGGTGTGTATGCCAGCTCCTTCAGACTCTCGGTGCCGTACGCTTGTCCACTGATAACTTTGACGTGTACCTTGCCGTTGTCCGCGGTCGTCTCGGGGATCTCCTTCGCTCGTAGGTCGCGGTAGCGGGGTTCGCATGACTTCAGCTCCTTGGGCAGATCGACCCAGAGTTGCATTCCGACGTTGGGCGCGCCGTCCTCGTTTTGGCGCGGCATCTCGGCGTGGACGATGCCGCGACCGGCGGTCATGAATTGCAGGTCGCCCTGCTCGATGGTGCCCTTGTTCCCGGCGAAGTCTTCGTGGTCGACGGCGCCGGAGAGAAGGTATGTGATGGTTTCTTGGCCTGAATCAAGAGTCAGCATGGTAATCGCGGGCATGTCATTTGCGCTCACGTACCTCTGTGTGGGTGGTCAGGGAAGCCTGCGCCGGGTGGAATGGCAAAGTGGTCGAGCATGAGGAAGGGAGAGAAGTTGCGGAGTTTGGGGGTGCCAACACTCCTCCTCACTTTCGCTCCTGCGCCTTCAGATTGCTCGACAGCAAGGAAGGACTTTGCGATCTTGCGGGGCGCATCGGTGGTGAACTTCTCGTCGGGGATGACGGGCAGTCCGCGGAACATGGTCGACATATCTTCGGTGGCGTTGTAGAAGGGCTTCGTAGTCTTCGCTAGGGATGTGACGTGTCTCAGTGACTGTGTGAGCCTCGAGAGCATGTACTCGTTGTTGTATACGGCAAGTGCAATTGCGATGATGGCGATGAAGAGGGAGGAAAGCGTCTTCATGGGTCGGGCGGGGGCGCTTTATGCAAAACGCGACTAGGGCGACGAGAATGTTCGAGGGAGGCTTCGGGGCGGTCTGGTGTGGGTGCCATCGTGAGCTTGTTTGGTTGGTAAAGGTTTAACAATCCGGCGCGTCTTAACCTGAGGCTTGGCGGAGAATGCGCTGCTTATGTCGAGCATGACCAAGCAACACTAATGCGATGGTGGGGTCATCGACGGATGGTGGAGCTTCCGTTGGCCAATCAGACAAGAGACGATGACGGAATGACTTCCGTCATCTGTCGCGTCTCAACACCCAGCATTCCTTTGAGTCCACTCATCGCGTCGCATTGCTGTCCCGTTCTACCATGTTCTTGCTCCCCATACTCAAGGTCGTTGAACTACGCGCAGACACGTCGATGATGTTCTCCCACACCCAATACCCGGCACCGTCGCGTATCACGGTATTCCGGTGACATCTGGCCACGACGGCGGGTTCAAGAATCTTCTGTCTTGTATCAGCTTTCCTATTCTCTGGAGTTCGCGAATTGCATTCTCCTTTGACACGATGTCCTCACTCATCCTTCGCTCTTATGTCAAGCGTCTGAGCTCTTCGGCCCGCTTCCTATGGAGCTTCTGGTACGTGCAAACGCTCGTACCCTGCAAACACCTGCAAGTATTTCCTTAGAGTGTCGCAATGTCGCACAAAACTCCACTTCGTAGGTTGCAAAGGGCATTTTACCACCCGTCTAGTCGCTCGCGCACATTCCGATATTGTCCCCAGACGCGCAAACTCCCACAGCTTCCATGCCCAATCCCAGGTTCAAAGTGACGGACATAAGAAGATACCTCGTCGTCAAGGCTCCGCACGAAGAGTATAACGAGGATCTTGAAGAGGAAGAGGACTCCAGTGTATCTCAGACATCTACTGTGGCCTATGGTCAAGAGCCCTTCGAATTCTTCCGTACCCGAGTCGCGGAGCTTTGCGCCACTATATTTCCCAGAGCAACCTGTCGAATCGAGCATCTGCGCGGTGGAGGTTATAATCGAATTACAGCTATCGCTGTCACGCCTTTACCTCCTCGCGCTTTTACTGTCCCTTGGATACATTCATTCCTGACCAGTGACGAAGACTACGTCAAAGCTTACACGCCAAAGCACCACATACTCAGGAGCGCACGAAGGGAGCCTTCAAGCGATGACTTGGACATGAGGTATGATGTAGCTACTCTGACGTTCGCGCGCACAAATTTCGGCATTGTCGTACCTCCCGTCATACATCTAGGTGAGCACCCGCGTAATCCTCTGTCACGAATATATACCATTCAGAGCCGTCTTCCCGGCCAAAATCTCAACAAGATATGGCCTGAACTTTCGATCAACCAAAGGATGAACACTGTGCACATTGTTGTCCATGTTATGGAGAAATTGCATACTATTCAGCAACCCAAGGCAGGTATCATCGCCAGTCTAACAAGACTACCATATTCTCCCAATAAGGTGACACCAGAAATTCAAGCCTTCGAAACCAGTCATGGCCCGGTATCAGCTTTCTCAGGACCCGCGGATCGCCCCGCTGAGGCTATGACTACACGCCAATTCTTGGTACACCAGAGGTATCGATGGGAGAAACTAGAGGAAGATCTTGACGACGGCGACATTGCTCCATGGTACTGCTTCGATATCATCATACAGACGCTATACGATAAGGGCTTTATCCCAGATGAAGAAAAGTTTTACTTCTGTCATCTCGACCTCTACCCGCGGAATATGCTCGTAGAGATTGAACACGACTCATCGCTCTCGCTTACCGGATTACTGGACTGGGATGCTCAGTTCGCGCACTTCTGCCCCGAATTCGTCGCTTACCGTGCTCCTTTCTGGCTATGGGTATCGCGCGGTCACGAGTACAATGAGATGATAGCTGCAGATGAGCCAAGAGGTGTCGGGTACCGGCGATTGAAGACCTTGTGGGAGGAAGCGGCGGGTGACGAGTGGAAGCGGTATGCGTACAAACCGGAGTATATGATCGCGAGGAGAATGTTCGCTCTGCTTCGAGACGGCATTCGTCATGATGGAGATAAAGAGGTAGCCAGGTCTACTGTAGATGAATGGCAGAAGCTGCATTACGATCAGAGGCTTGCCACAGCATACGCGAGTGACGAGAGCGATGGCGCCGAGACAACTATGAACGTTGAGGACCGAGATGAAGGCATATACACGTTGGCTCAACAAGAACTTGAGCTCGACCATGTGCTGGACGAAGATGACATGGCTTTCGATCCGCATGACTAAGGACTGCAATACAGTAGGGTGGTGGTCGAAGAAGACGTGCGATCTGGCAGTCTGCACTCAATAGTATATCTTGATCTTGGCAGAATACCTCTTGTTATGCACGGTGCATCCCGTAGATGATGTGTCGCATGGCCAATCACAAGCTCACAGCAAGAGTGGGGTGAAGGGCTTCGCAATCCCACTTGCCCCATCTTCGACGACATAACGCTGTTATCGATAACGCGACACTTGTGAGGGGTAACCGACATACTGGGATATGACAATGACGGAAAGCGGAAGTAATGATCAATCGTAGTATAATTGAAGGCGACGCGTCTCGACAGCTCGCTGCTGATTTCTCGAAATCACACCAAACGTGACAAGGTACTTAGGCATAATCACATTCGAATCACTTGGTCACTTCAATCACACTATTTACCTTGATACCGCATTGAACTTGGCCGAGAGAGTCCATCATGCCAAACGCCGGTGAAGCACCTCCCATCCTAGACTTCTCAAGTACGTGGACCCGCCAGACAGCCTTAGCAGTCGAAACCTTGCTTACAAAGCCTAGAATTCTACCAGAACGATCCAGCATCCAAGAAACAGCTCGTAGACGAAGTGCGAAACTGCTGCCTGCATAATGGGTTCTTCCAGATCACGGGTCACAACGTACCAATCGAGCTGCAAAACAGGATGATGGACTGGAACAAGAAGTTCTTCGATCTGCCACTGGAAGAGAAGAACAAAGTGAACAAAGGTACGTTTAATGTCACCAGCAAGCAATGATTCATAGTCACATCAGCTCATCTATATCTCCACCCAGACACAACCAACACCTGGAACCGAGGCTACGAGCTCCTCAAATCGCAAATCCTCGAAGAAGGCACCTCCCCCGAACTAAAAGAAGGTTTCTACATCGGCGACGAGATCCCAAAAACACACCCCTACTTCATCAACAAGAAGCTCAACTCCGGACCCAACATGTGGCCGTCCGCCGCCTCCCTCCCAAATGTCCAAGACTTCAAAGCCACACCTTTGGAATACTACGCCCGCGTCGTCTCACTCGCAAAAGACATCTTGAAAGTCCTCGCCTTGACACTCGATTTGGAAGAAACCTACTTCGACGCCTTCGCCACGGGCGCAGTAGCAACAATGCGCCTCCTCCACTACCCGCCCCAACCACCCTCCAGCCCCACACACCTCACCCGCGGCATAGGCGCCCACACAGATTTCGGCTGCATAACCATCCTCCTCCAGGACACCGTCTCCGGTCTCCAAGTCTACGACCACGCGACGAAAGAATGGCTCGACGTAACCCCCACGCCCGGTGCTTTCGTCATCAACCTAGGTAATCTGATGATGCGGTGGAGTAACGACCGGTATGTGAGTAATTTGCATCGTGTTATCAATGTTAGTGGGCAGGAGACGTATAGTATTCCTGTGTTTTTTAGCGGGAATCCGGAGTATGTGGTTGGGTGTTTGCCGAATTGTAGGGAGGAGGGGGAGGGGGAGAGGTGGGAGGCGATTACGGTTGAAGAGGCGATTTTGGAGGGGTATAGGGAGAGTTATGGGAGGGCGGAGAAGTGGAAGAGGGGCCAGGGGGACACGAGGAAAGGGGAGGGCGCGAAGATGGATGTTGGGGCGCAGGAGGTGGTTGTTGCGTAGACTTGGTGAAGAAGACGTGGGTCGTTACTGCGAGTAAATACGAAACAGTATATCACACTTGTGACTTCTGTCATTTGTGAGAGTTTCTTCTTGTCTAGGTTGTCGAATGTTGCGGAAATTGTGAGTGGCTCGTTTCGCTATGCGTCATCGCAGTACTACGGGATGAAGTGGGTGGCGAGTGAAAGAGGATGCGTGGTTACCTAGGTACTTTGGCGATATCCACAAACACCGCATTAGACGCCAAACTGATGCTTGTTAATCGAACACTCATCACCATGATACACACAAATTCACATGTGTTGATCCGAGGTTCGCGCTGCATTCCATGTTAAGAAGTGACCGGCAGAATTCCGCCGGTAAAATCTGGCCGCACTTTTGGCCCCCAAACGCTTACACGCGAGAGCGCCAACATGTCTGTTAGCTTCGCATTGGTTCACAACATCGCAAGGCGGAAGCCTGGACAACATTCTGGATAGATCGGCCTCCAATTACCCTGTTATCACTCTCTTAGCGGTACTGTGGGCCCTTCGACTTGCATGCTAGCGGCCTATAAATAAACCGCGGATAGAAGCGAGATGCTCTTGTACACTTTCTCCCTAGCAGCGCTCTATACTTAGACATCTGCTTCCAAGATGCCTAAAGACTGGTGTCTGGCTCCGGCACGTCATCTGCCAGGTAGCCCTAGACCTACCCGTTCATGCTGGAGTGTTGTGTGGGCAAATTCTGACTGGCTTGGTCGTATAGCCTTACACCATTATCAGAGAGGTACATGTGTGATACTGCAGCGAAAGAGATGCTAGAAATGTGATAGAGCCTTAGATTGCATACTATCATCATCGATATTGTCTTTTGGGTATACTTGGCCGCGGGTTAAGCACGCGAAGGATGATACCGAGGTGCTGGTGACCGGTTGTTGTTGCCTCAACACCACAGGGAGAGTAGGATAGCTCTGAAGTGGTATCGCGTCGGGCGGATGCTGATATCATGCTAGTCGCGCAAGAAGCCGTCTCTGGGGTATGTGATGATGATATCAGGAAGTCGTCCACCACATCCGCTGAAGAACATTAAACGTTTTCCCATCGTCGCCATGGTCGCCCAGCACATTGACCCAGATATGCTCACAAAGATGTGCCAATTCACTAGCACATACTATCGCCAACCATATCCCGCTCTCGAAGAAGTACAACTCACAGGCGCCGGCAAATACGTTCTCGTTACCGAAGCTTCGGAGGAAATCGGTAGAGCGATTGCTTCATCGTGGGCAAGCGCAGGGGCCGCGGGTATCGCCATCAGTAGTCGCAATGAAGAAGATCTCGAGCCCGTCATCGTCAGGCTGAAGCGACTCAATTCCACAGCACAGGTCCTGGCGATGGCTTGCGACACCACAAAATCGGCCGAAGTCGCCGGACTCTTTGATGCGATAAGAGAGAAGTTTGGCCAACTCGATGTAGTCATCGCAAACGTCGGTACAGCACATCTCAGTAGGACAGATGAGACCGACGACAACGACGAGTGGTGGGCCGATATGACAACGAACTTCCGCAGCACACATCTTCCCGCCCACCAATACATCCGCATGTTTGGTCCGGCACCAACCGGAACATTCATCTCTATGACATCCGGTGCGGGTACGGTCGTGACACCCGGTCTCTCTTCCTATGGCATTGCCAAACAAACCGACCGCCGGCTCATCGAGTTCCTCAATGTCGAATATCCAGATATGAAGGCATTCTCATTAGATCCTGGGGTTGTGAAGACGGAGAGAACGAGCGATATGTTCAAGCCCTTTGCGTTTGATAGTCCAGAGCTAGTCGGCATGTTCTCGGTTTGGCTAGGCGGAGGACGAGCCGATAGGCTCAAGGGCAGTTATATGCATACCACATGGGATATAGAAGAGTTGGAAAGAGAAGCAGACGATATAGTCGGGCGGGGTACACTGAAAGACAAGTTTCCGGGGGGCTTGCTGGTACAAGAGGGTGTAACCTGGGGAAACCAGATCCCTGGACCGGAAAGACATGTGTAACTCCTCATTGCGAGGAGATTGAGCATGTGTATAAACGATTTGAGAGCTACCTCGCATAAGAAACGCGAGACCAATGTTGACGCTATTTTGGTGTTGCTGGAGCCGTGATGTCCTGATAGGTGCAACAGCCTCGAAGCTACACTTCAACAATCGTGTGTACTGGGCCGGCCAGACGCTTCTCAACCTCTTCCCATGATGCCATCCGCCGCTTGTCTTGACTCCATAGGGTACCACCTACTCCGTGATTCCATATCCAGGCATCGCATAATATGATGTCGTCCTCATCGCCGTAAAAGCTGACAGGTACATCAGCTTCCCAGATTCGTACTGCATCTTGATCTGTCCAGTTCCGAGTCTTGTTTGGTGTCCTGTGATTTGAGTTCACATCAACCAGAATGACGTCCAGGCTTCTCCCGTCGTATGATCTGAATATTGTGTCGATGTCTTTCGCTGCTAGATTGACGGGTCGCATCATGACGAGCATTCGCAGGGATGGTATCTTGAGACAGAATGCTATTTCTAGATCCGACATCTCTTGGGTAGTGATGGCAAGCCGTTTGAGATTGGGCGGTGGGTGTCGAAAGTAGTTGACCACATCGTAGCTGACAATGAGCTCTTCAAGGTGCAACATGTGTGAAAAGACCCTGTTCTCGGTGATATGCGGCCTGATTTGCTCAACCTCACTTGGTGGTGCATAAATCGGAGAGAGGTCTAAAGCCAGTCTCTTCAGCGAGTTCCCTATCAAGCTGCAAAAATCGATTATTTGGGGCAGTCGCACCAAAGGCGTGTAGTTCCCTTCGATCAGCCTGCGCACCTCGGTTGGCGAGATGAATATTGATGTTATATGGCGGAGTGCCTGGGCTTCCGCGAACAGTTCTTCGTTTCGCCCGGCTTCTCCATAGTTGAGAGCTTGTGGGTGATGCCCCAGGTTTAGTCCGAGTGTTCTGCGAAATCGCGCATAGGTCGTGCAACTGTCCAGATACAGACAATGCGAGTAAAGATACTGTGTGGCTATAAGATAAGTGTTGCGCGACACCAGAGTGAGAGCGCGCAACGTCTTGGTGATGATGTTTGACGGTGCATACGCTACAGGATGCTGGCTGTTGTGGGTACCCACAAGTTGATCGAGAACGTTGAGGAACAGCTCTAATGGCAAGCTGGCGAACCCTCGCGATATATTCTTCGGGAAGTCAACCTGTTCCATTAGTTCGCTAGCGATATTGAGTAGATATGTGCAAGCTGGAGATGGCGAGAATAGATTTTGGTGATATTGTTGAGCCTCCTTACGTCATCACTTTCCCCGCTCGCGGCCCGCACGCTAATCTTCATAAGGTCCAGCCTGGGAGCTAATCCTGGATTGTACGAGCGACGTGTGAGCTACGGCGGCGGCCGTGGCGTCCGTAGACTCCGTGATCAATCTCTGGAGTAACACCGTTACCCAGCGCACCTCGGCCGACTCGAAACGAAGCGCGTTCTAGGGCCTCAGTCGGGGCAACAACACATCCGAGCCATTCGTAGGTGGAGGCGGAGAATCTGATACACCGCTCCGCCCACTCAAATGCAATACCCCCTCATCAATCGGCTTCGACTGACCAATTGCGTGTGTTTGTGGTCGTATACCTTTCAGACCTCCTGACTGGTCGCGTTCCATGGCGTGTACTCAAATGCGTTCAAACCCACTACTCGGTCGATCTCATCCATGCTTTTGACCGGCAGCTTTGAGCGAATGCAACAGGTCTCTCATGGTGCGGATGCGAGCGTCTGTCAGGAATGCTACTTCCAAGGTGGCACACGAAGTACCCTCCAGGACGTGCGTCACCATTGAATCGAACAATCACCGCCAAAAATGAAGGGCCGTTCGCGACCTTGGCCCCCACATTCCGCAAGTGCTGGCGATATGTAAAAGGCCCACGCAGCTAGAGATTTGAGTGAACATGTTGCAAGTTGAATCACAAGATCAGTCCTCTACTCGACCAAGATCTATACGGGCGGGAACTGCGAGCTCATTCGAACTTCATCAACATGCCACTTCAGCGGGGCGTCTTAGCCGCTATCTTGGTGGTACTGGCCTACATCATCAAGGTACAAGACTCATACCAAGTTCCTTTACTTCAAGCTAACAATGCAAAGATTGTATGGAAAGGGCTTACAGGTCCACTGTCAAAGCTGCCAGGGCCATGGTACACCAAGTATACCAATCTCGTCCTTCGTTACCAGACGGTTTCAGGCAAACGAATTTTCTACGTGGACAATCTTCACCAGCGCTATGGCGGCGTCGTACGAATATCGCCAAACGAGACAGCCGTATCAGATATAGCCGGTGTCAGTCAGATACACAAGATCGGTGCTGGATACCTGAAGTCGGACTTCTACTCGTCTCTCCTTCCAACTGATACACCCGGTATATTCCCGATGCGCGATCCACGTGCCCACGCCGCAAGAAGAAGACTGTTTGCCCGACCCTTCAGCAACACCAGCTTGAGCAGCAACTGGGACGTAGAGATTAGGACGAAAGCGAACCTAGCTGTCCAGAGGATTCGACACGACGCAATGGGTTCATCGCAAGGAGCCGATGTCCTCAAATGGTGGACGCTCATGGCGAATGATGTAATTGCTCACCTCAGCTTTGGAGAGAGCTCCGAAATGCTTGAGATGGGTAAGGTATGCAACTCAGCCTTATTCAGTCTCGCTATGTATGCATTTTTTAATAACAGAGGTAGCAAACACCATACATCGATGCTATTCAGGCTGCGCTCATTTGCGGTATCATTCGGTCTGAAATTGGAACTACCATCTGGAAACTTCTCAGTTGCCTCCCCATCAAACGGATAAAATTTCTCTACTCGATCGATGATGTCCTAAACGAACACGGCGAGCGGGCGATACAGAAGATGCGCAGTGAGGGTGGCAATACCAAGAATCTCTTCAGTCAAATGATGGCTGCTGGGGAAGACAGTAAGACTGCCGCGCTCTCGAATAAACACATAAGGGAGGAAGCGGCCGGCTTCATTGTGGCCGGATCGGACACTACCGCGGTGACGCTCACGTATCTCGTCTGGGCGGTTCTCAAGCAGCCTGATCTGCAGTCTCGACTCGAGAACGAGATTGCAGGACTCAGCGAGGAGCTTACGAAGGACGAGCTCGAGGCTGCGCCTCTATTGAACAGCGTCATCGCAGAGACGTTAAGGCTTTATGGCGCTGCTCCCGGCGCCTTACCTCGGGTTGTACCAAAACAGGGCACTGTCATAGGCGGCCACCACATCCCTGGCGATACTGTGGTCAGCACTCAGGCTTACACAAACCATCGCGATCCTTCCGCCTTTCCCAATCCCCACGAGTTCGACGGTCTTCGCTTTTTGGACAAGAGCATGATGTCAGCACATCAGAAGGCGTCATACATGCCCTTTGGAGCTGGCTCGAGGGTGTGTATCGGCATACATCTGGCTTACATGGAGCTCCGCTTAGGAGCCGCTCTCTTCTTCCGACATTGTCGCGGCGCCAGAATTTCCGACTCCATGAACGACGAGATGATGGAGATGGACAACAACTTCTTGATTGCTCCTAAGGGTCATCACTGCTACATCACCCTGAGATGAGGAATCGCAACTCCAGTAACCGGTACGTGTTTCTGGTAGTTACGAAGTTCTTCGAGAGTATCCATTAGCCTTCGCATCGAGTGTTGCACGCGTGTAGGTAGGAAGTAGGAAAGTTATACAGTTGTTTGCTTCGCGAGGGTAATTATGTGCATGATGAAGTGAACGTTTCTCAATTCCACTCTGCTTCAAGATCACCAATCTTATCCTCCAGATACAAGGCATTCCATTCTTCTGCCAGCTGAAGCGCCAGATACCGACGATCGCCCAGCAACCCACTGTTGACGACCCTAAACAGCTTTCTCGCGATGGCACTCTCGCGCGAAAGACCAAATATGATGAACTCTTCTGACGCCGCGCTCCTAAAAGCCTGCTTCAACGTCTTGAACCCTCCCTCAGGCGGCTCGGATGTTGCCAAGTCTTCGTCTCTCTCGTCCACCGAGTGACCTACCCACGCCCAGAACGGGGGTCGAAGGGCCACAAACTTGGGTGCGAAGCAAGCCATATCCCAGTCTACGATACCTGTGATCTCTACAGTCTCTGGGCCTGTGATCTTAGCGAGTATATTGCGGGGAAACAAGTCGCCATGCGTAAGATGAAAGCGCTGCCCTAGCCATCCGCGCCGATCCAGAGCTTTCGCAACGGCAATCGTGATTCGCCACATGTTTTTGTTTCGACTCGCACGTCCAATCTCCTCTTCGTACTTCTGCCAGCGCTGGCAATGGTCAATCAGATATCCAAAAGGTGTTTGAGGTGACGCTGGGCTCTGGCTGGGCGAAGCGAAGTGTGGTCGTATCTTCGCTTCTTGGTTTGTCGGAACGGGAAATTGATCCAATGCTATAGCTGAGCTTCCTGAGGTCAAGTTACTCAGGGAGATGAACCCAGCCGCGGGCGTAGTGACGGCTGCAATCTTCTCCACTGTTTGCGTGATCTGCTGGATGGCCGACGCTTTCTGTTGTGGATTTAGCTCAAGCCACAATGCATGTAAGTTCTCACCGGGTAGTAAGGTCTGCAGGGTATATGGCCGTCCCAAGGCATTTTTCGGACCAAGATCGTACTTCTCAATCTTGGGTATGGGTAACCTTAGGCAAGAGCTGATAACGCGTTGTGTAACGATGTCGCCAGCAACGTCGTTCACAGGGGGACCATCCATGTCTCCCTTCTTGTCCCTTGGAATTCTCAAAGCAAACTTACGGGTTCGTGGAGGCATACCAAGAAATCTTGATACTCTAGCGCTAAAGTAGACCCCGGAGTCTCGTCGTTGCGCCTTGTCTTGTAATGTGACAGCTATGACGATGTTGAAAGAGCCCATTCCAAGTACGCGAAGTGAAGACTCTTCGATCTCACTCTCAGGGAACAGATCGGCGATGAGTTGCAGAATTCGGAACTTCAGTCTCAAGACTGTTTCTCTCCCTTCCAGAAAGCCTACGCCACCCTCAGTGAAGATGTTTTCGTCATCGAACAAGCGCCGTAGGGGGTTCTCACTCTCATATCCAGAAGTTGTTAGTTCATCGTTGCTCGCGACTCGATCTGGGAGGTATCCTCTAGCCGCTCCAATGCAGGCGATGTCAATTTTGCTCAGTCCTTGAAGTGGCATATCGAGATGCGCCATTGGGTGTGGCCTTGCCGCCTATATATCTTGACCTGGTCTCAAGGCAAGGTATTCGTCTATTCCTGTTCCCGCTTAGTAGAAGTCCAAAAAGGAAGATTTGAGTTAAAGGTCTTCTTTCCTTTGAGTAATTCGCGGCATCGTGAATGAATTCACAGTGGTCGCTTCACTAAAGTGCTGACTGTAGGTACACAATGTCCGCCAATAAGGTAACAAGAGCAGTTTAGTTCTATCCTGTGTAGGAGAATGGGCTTTGTGTAAGACACACTGTCACGGTTGCAAATCTTCCAAGGCTACATGTTCAAAGCTTGCTTATGTTACTGTGATAGCTCATACCTACCTATGTGCAAGCAACTCATGAATCAGGTAACATTGACCTCCGTGATATGGAAGAAAGTGTTCGAAGGAAAAGGGCCTTCATCTTATCGCAGTCGGATAAATCTCTCGAAGCCTTTTCGAACGGTTCAAAGCAGTTGGAACAAGAACTCAGTATTTATGTTTTGATGGAATATCGATCACACGTGTCGTACTAGAGATAACAGCATGTGCATGTATTGTAATGGAAGATGTCAATCAAGTAATTAGGTATCGCCATGCCATGCGTATATCGAACCATCGTCCTACTACTCTACAACAACGGATATCTCTCTCGCAACGACTGACTCGTCTTTCTCCGCATCTGATGTAGATTTCGAGTCAGAGTCGGAGTCAGAATCAGTATCAGACCCAGACTCAGAGTCAGAGTAAGATTTACGGTAACGAACATCATCCTCAGGGTGTAGGTCATCCCACGCCATGATGATGCTCTCTGCCAAATCATGCTCCCACTCATCGGACATGCCCTTATGGATTATCTCAAACATTTGCCTAGCCATCATGGCCTCTCGGGAGAATGCAAAGCGCTTGTATTTCTCCGATGCGTTATCGAGGAACACCTGCTTCATCATCTTGTCCTCCTCAGTGATTGGCTCCACAGACGCTACCCATTCCCCGTCTTCCTCGTCGCTAGTCATCTCCACAGGCGTCCAAAGCCAGAACGGAGCTCTATAAGCCACGAATTCGGGCGCGATGATGGCAGAATCCCAGTCGATAACGCCTGTGATCACTGCCTGGGTGTCACTACGTACTTCCGCTAGAACGTTGTAAGGTTTGAGATCGCCGTGAACGAGTACGCAGGGCCCATCGAGGAAGCCACGAGCTGCCAGAGCTTTTGACATCCTAGCGAAGCTCACCCAGACCTCGTCAAAGTTGACTCCTTCAGATGCGTCATAAGCACGATGCTGCTCGCAACGCTCAAGGAGGAAGTCGAGAGGCTTGCAGGTCGATGTCGGTCGGGACGATGGCTGATCACCGTAAGCCGTCATGGAGAACGTATCGACACCGATCGGGGTTGTCGAAGGGCAGGACAAGTTTCGCGACGCTATATCGCCGGCTGGACCTTCCACAGAAGCGATGGTAGGTGCGAGAGCGGTGAGTTGCTTAGCCATGCATCGTTTCTGTTGTATATTGAGTTTACCCCAAAAACGCCCCGCAAGGTTGCTGCCAGGAAGTCGCTTTTGAATCATGTATGGTCGTCCAAATATGTTTTCCGTAGTGGTATCGTAGCTAGCGACATCGGGGGTGGGCAAAGGTAGTCGTGACATAGTCGTCTTCAATACCGCCACCTGGCGCTTCATGTCTTCGGCCATGGCTTCGGCACCATTGTCACCATCGTCCATCATTCGCGGAACACGTACAATGTACGACTCGCACTGTGTGGTCGCCTTCTTCTTGCGCGCGCCTAGGCAGCGGAACGTGAACCAGATCCAGCTAAACATCTTTGGCTTTGTTGAGAGCGTGACGCCAATGACTCGGTTGAAGGAGCCACCCTTCATTTCGTGAATTGAAATGTCTTGTTGGTTTCGCTGGAAGATTTTGGCGGCTAGATCGGCAACTTTGTGCTGTAATGTCTCAAATGGCTCCTGTCCGTAGAGAACGGTGTTCGTTTCTGAGACCGCATCATCTTGCGGCTCGTCGTCCTGCTGGTCATTGCGAGCAACTGGTTCATAATGTAGAGTGTCGTATGTTGCGCCGCCCGTCGTAACAGTAACAGTATCACCTGTAGCATGATGTTGTGTGTCCGCAACTCGTTCAGTCGAAGCCACGGGCGGAGAAGAGTCAGGCGACATGGTGTCGTCGTCGAAAGGTGTGGGTAGGAGTTGTAGTGTAGGCGGAAGGGCCTTTTGAAGTTTCTGGGGCGCATTGTTGCATGGTAGCTCTTTGTTTGCTTAGTGCCAAGCCTTGTCGGTGCACAGGGTCACTTCCCTTCGAGACCGTCACTGCGTGCGCGGTGTGAATGCTCGAACTCATCGACTGTCTTAACGTGAAAGTCTCACATCGTCACAATGCATCCCGTGAAGTCCGTGTATATAAACCGTGCTATCTACAACGCCTCCACAAACCTAAAGGAAACACTCTACTCACCGCAACACCATCCGCAAAGAACAACAACACACGCTTACATTATCAACCATTAGAAACATGGGTAAATGTACTACAACAGTCAAGCATCACTGCCCCGGAGCGAATGGCTGGGTCGGCGACGTGAGCCCTGGAAACTGCGTCCCGAGTACCGGCAGACTGATATACTGCACAAAGCACCAGATGCCGTGCCGTCAAGGATGTGCAGGCAAGAAACATCTCAAGAACCAGCCAGGATGTTTATCGTGCAAGTCGAAATGGCAGGCAGAGGATAAGGAGGAGAGAAAAGCGAAGGAAAAGTTGAAAGAGAAAGAGAAAGACAAAGAACTCGAAGATTTCTTGAATCCAGGTAAAGAGAGAAAGAAGAAGAAGTAAGTCCACGCATGGCTTGCATGAACTCGAAAGGCGGTCTTGAGAAAGGGGGAGGTTCAAAAGACGTACAGTTTTATAAAGCGTGACTAAGAAGATGTGGGTCGATGTGTTAGCTGAATATGTTGTGATACTCTCGCTGTAATGCGATCGATACATTGTATGAATAAGTTTAACCAACATCTACAGCCACCAAAGCTAAATTCGACTTTGGCTGAGATGTCGTTGTGATGACCGATAATCGCGACTACTACCTGTATGAGATGCATTAGTTGCCTGTTTACGCATCGCGCAGTGTTCCTGATAACGTAGAGATATTTCTTGAGAAGTTCCGATGATACCCGAGCGTGTTGTTATGATTGCGCAGTTGCTTCGCGATGATGGTGGGATGGAGGATCGTTCGCGCGTTGCGTCCGCCAAACACCTCCACGTCCTCTCCTTGTCAGCGCGACCGCGTGTAGGCTGCAGCCCATATCCCACTGCGCGCGCTCGCAGATACCCCAACAAAATGCGTAGACCAGAGGCTTTTGGTCGCTAGCGCAAAGTTGGGTTGAGTGCCGGAACTGCAAAAATTGGATGGATGGGACGTGATGGTGTTTCCTGTGCGGCGTTCCTCCCAGCCACGCGTTAGCCCCGCTACCAGCCGTCAGCCAATCACGTCGACGTCTGTGCAGACCAATCACATACGTCATCGACGTTCAGAATAGTATCAGCGCAGAGACGCGTCGCGACAATGGTCACTACACGTTCTGCATCCCTCAATTCTCCTGCAGGCAGACCCCGCCGCTCTGTTCCTCGCTCTCAAGTTTCGGCAAGAGCCCAACAAGTTCACAACCGTCGCGTACAACAGTCACGTCGCTCCATTCCTTACTCTCAAGTTTCGGAGAGAGCGCAACAAATTCACATACTCCGCGCGCATTACGCACCTCACACTGTGCGCCTCGGCCTTGCCGAATTGACCCAACGCTTGGCTTCAGTTGGACTTGAATCGGGTCCTGGAGCTAGGGACGCAAACCCGCCTCCGGTTTATTGTCCAAGACAAGGCGTGCCAACCTCAGACGGTGCAACAGGTCTTTGGAACGCCTTTGTCGCCTACAACACCCACCTGGCTCGCACCTGTGGAAGATTCGACAATAGAGCGTTCGAGCATCCCATCTTTCGTCGCCTCTGAAAGACTTTGATTGAGACCAGGCCCAGAAAGGTGGAACAACAGCCTGTTAGCAATACCATTGTAGGCTACTTCGTTTCGAGCCTAATACTTCCTCCTTCCCCATCGGAAGGCGCTAGTGGTCGGCAAACTGAGCAGTTCTGCTTCCAGATAGTGACAGTGAAGGTCCTCCAGCCCGTGATAGTTGGTGGAAGGCTTGGACAGGTGTGGACCAACACAGCTTCAAGGACTATGTCGCTGAAGCGAGGTGCCATTGACTCGTTCTTCAAGCGCCCTGAGCCCAAGAAACCCCGATATGAAGCAAGTCTTCATAAGTCAAGTCATGCGTCTTACCCCTTCGCCATCCCACATCTGCCTGCCCCGTTCACGGAGCAGTTGGGATTCGCACCTGCTGAGGAGGGCAAGCTCATGAACGACCAGCTGGACCTGGATCTTGTATACTATCAGCCATACGTACCGTCCAGTATTGCGCCAGGGCTTTTCGAGTTCCTTCGACAGGAACTTCCCTTCTACCGCGTGCAGTACAACATCACCCGTGGTGGCGCGCAAACACAGATCAACACGCCGCGGTTTACGACCGTATTTGGTATTGATGACACATCGCGCTTTGCAGCTGATGGCAGCATCGTAGATGCAAAGACTGGAAAGCCGGTTGAGAAGAGCCGCTACAAGTGCGCACCTCGTCCTATCCCACAGTGTCTGGAGGAACTGAAGAAAGTGACAGAGGGTACCACTGGTGAGACCTTCAACTTCTGCCTCGTCAATTACTACGCCGATGGTAAGGACAGCATATCGTACCACTCCGACGATGAGAGGTTCCTCGGCCCTAATCCGGCAATCGCATCGTTCAGTCTCGGTGCAAAGCGCGACTTCTTGATGAAGCACAAGCCTATTCCACCCAACGCAGGCGTTGTGACGGAGGAGCCAAAGGGCATCAAGCTGCCTCTCGGCTCGGGAGATATGGTTTTGATGCGTGGCAAGACGCAGGCGAACTGGCTACATAGTATTCCAAAGCGCGCCGGCCCTGAGGCAGGCAAAGGAAGGATCAATATCACTTTCCGGAAGGCGATGATCAAGGGCGGTACGGAGAATTACTACCAGTATAATGTTGGCACGGGAGGAGTGCATAATTGGGACGCGAAGGCCGAGAAGATGGTGCCTTGGACGGCGGCTGCAGAGCCTCAAGCGTCTGCGAACGGCGATGGCAATAGCGCGGGGCCAAGTGACGGAGCCTGATGGATCAGACGATATGGCGAATTTGATGATAATGATGATTGCACGCCAACCTAAGAAAAAACTGAACAGCCCAGAGCCTACGTTAACGTTAGTTCACCTACTTTGCAAGGTTTTAGCTTAATGTTGCCTGCAGACCTGCTCGGTTTTGTCCTTGTATGAGGTGATTGCGAAGAAATCGACATTTGCGTTCGGACCTAGATTGTGTATTTTGTCAGATAGTTCTGTTTCTCTTCAAACAAAGCTTCGCTCGGAGAGTTTTTCGCATCAAATTACCATATGTACAGTGATGTGTGATACAGAAAACTGTGAACAGGCCCCAGACTTGTCAAAAGCTTATCGCTGTACGAAGTAGCGGGCCTGAGTTGCCGCCAGCGAGCAGGTGGCTTGAGCGTGGGCTAGTTCGACCCCGCCTGGGGCAAGCGCGACCACGAGCAATCTTGACATGTGGAAAGAGCAGTGTGCGATGAGGGGCCATACGGAGGCAGGACAGTGGTAGTGGTGGAGATGAGGTTGCCACCGAAGGAGCTGACCGAATCTGTACCGTCAGTAACATGGATAAGCGTGATGGCGACATGATGAAGAGTCGCATGTCGCAGGACATCTTGGCAGCGACGGATGAGGGTGGTCGGAGTTAAAGGCCGCCTAATTCTGCCCATGGCTGTACCAGCCTTTGACTACACCACCACAACAACCGCTTGCGAGCTTCTTATCTTGTGGATTTCGAGTCGCCAAAGCTAGCGCATATCATCAACGGCCTAATTGAGGAGCCTCCACGATCAGAGGTCGCTATCGTGAGTCGGGCGCGTTAGACGGAAAGCTGGCGGTGCGTGCAAGCCTGTTTGAGAGTAAGTACGAATCGGCGCATGGCTCTGTGAATGTGCAGCTGCTGACAGAGGCTAGCAGGTGTCAACAAGCCTTCGATACACCGCTAGACCATATTCCTCTCACCGCGAGGTCGACTGCCCATTGCATGAGCTGCACCTCCCCCTCATAAGAAGCGCTGCGTAAGCCGAATCTAGACGAGCCACCCAACGACGAATTGCCTACGCATCGATTGAAGCGTACGTCTGCGCATTACAAGAGACAGTATCTGAAGAAGAAGAGCGGAAAGTGTGCCGTACTGGACGACATTGACTGGCGGAAAGGCGGAAGCAAGTCGCATACAAGTCAACACCAGGGCAGTATCGCCATTTCAAGTCCACGCCTCAGAGTCATAGCACTTGGCGCATGGAGATAGCTCAGCTCCGGAAGATTTAAGACCGCACCGGGCCGCAATCGCAGAATCGCACACCTTACGACCTTTCGCTACACTCTCCTCTGCAAAGCGCATACTAGCGACCACCAACGTCTGCACGACACGAGTCTGGACCAGTCAACACCCTAGTCCTGCAGCTTAGGCGACCACCAAGGCGTGAGATTTCATCATATATCTCGAACGGACTTTAGCGCTTAAGTCCGCATTCTCCGTCGTCCCATATCACGCCTGCGGACGACGCGATCGCGACCATGCCGCCCACTCCGCCTTCAACGACCTCGTCGAGCGCAGGACAGTCGCCGCCAGATCCGCAATTTAGAGTTGTACGTAAACGGAATCGGGTTCCCTTATCATGTGGAGCATGCAGGCATCGAAAGTAGGCACACATCTCGACAACGAAGCAATGATCGCCACATGCTGACCATCGTAGGCTGAAATGCAATCGAGGTCATCCCTGCGACAATTGCACCAAACGCGGAGATACGGCATCATGTACGTACGCTGCTCCAGGCAACCGCAAGAAGAGCTCTGCCAGCACCGGTTCCGCCACGACGCCCGATGATATGCAAAATCGCATTGACCGTCTCGAGGGGCTGGTTCTCTCGCTGATGACCAATGGCGCGCAGAGTGCAGGGCCTGCCGCTGCTCAAGCAGCTATCGCGAACAGCATGGCCAATGCT